GGTATCCCAGACTCCACTTTTGGTGTCCTGGAGTGCCCATGCCAGCGACCTTTTGGTGGCTCTCTTACCCCAGTTGGAACTGTCTGCCAAGTGTGTCCCCATCGTGGGGGAGAGGAAGAGAGGAAGTGGATTAGCGCGTCAGGCCTTGCGGAATTGCACTCGCACACGTCTGCGCTGCGGTCTCCAGAAGCAGGAGGGCGCTTTCCGGGGCAGCTGCTGTGGCACACCGGCAGTTTCAGCAGTTGGATAGCTCCAGCCTCCCTGTCACACCCTCACTCCTCATCACTCCAAAATTCAAGCGCATGCCCAGGCCCCAGGTATGTTGAGGCGGGAAAGCTTCACAGTCCCGCCCGGGCTCATGCAGTTCCCTGCAGCGTGGGTGGGGGAGGACAGGTGTCCCAGGCGTGTGTGGCCGTGGGCAGCAACTCCCAGTCCTTGAGTCTCAGGTGGGCAAAATCATGCCGCCACTGTGGCACTCGGCCACCTGACTCCAGGCAGGGCCCCGTCCTGCCTCCCGGCACTCTGTGTGTGGCCCTTCTGTGAGGCTGTTGCCCCTCAAGCAGCCTGGGATACGAAACCCCTCGTTCACGGCAGAGTATTCAGCCCAGCGCCTGCCTCAGAGCCTGGGTGAACAGCGTCTGGGTGACGAGGTAACAGGCAGGATGCAAAGGGGAGGCAGGCGGCTTCCGCGGATATGGTCCATGTGCCCGTCCAGCAGGACCCTGAGCCAACTCCCATCACAGAGCGGAGGCTCCGCGGTGGCAGGCAGGAGGGGCTGCATAATGAGCTCCGGAAAGCTCTAGAGTGCCGTCTATCGCCATTACACTTGACGGAGGCGTGAGTGAATAGCAAGGGCTTGGGAGGCATGGTTGGATTTTGGGTTTTTCCTTGCAGGACTGTGCTGAACCTGCAGCATTGGGAAGCCCTTGGCCTCTGCCCTTTCTCTGAAACGTGCCTCTTCTGCCTGGATGGCTTGGTCATTCTTTCCTCATCCATAACCTTGAATAGCTTCACCAAGATCCATGCTGGTGTCAATATTTTATATTAATTTTTCCTGGGATATGGTGCTCTTGATTTTTTGAATTAGGGTATAATTTGCATAGCTAAATGCCCAACTCTTAAGCATGACTTGACTGTTTACATGTTTCTCTTGCTAATCCCACCCAGGTCAGCAGCATGGAACTTTCCAGAGCTTCTCTTACCCTTCCTTTCCCCTCCCCAAGCTGATGGGTATGCTGGCTTCTGGAGGCCCCATCTGCCATCGGAGCCTCTCAGGGAGTGGATTCATCCGCCCGCCTTCCTGACACTCCTCTTGCTCCGCGCAATGTGCTGGTCACCTGTGGTTCAAATGTCTGTTGGCCCCTTCCGGGCCGGTGTGAATTTCCCATTCTGAGTGTTTGCTTTGACCCCATTTTTATTATTTGGGGTTGTGTACTTCTCATGCCGTTTACATCCCAAACCTGTGGTGTCTTTTCTGAGTGAGAACACCCTTGGCTACAAAACCCCAGAGTAGGAAGCCCAGCATTCGTGTGGCAAGGTTGAGTTCCCTAAGAATAGCCAGCCTCCCCCACCCTCAGTGCCTTCCCAAACTCCTGCTTACACATCAGGACCCACTGGCAGTGCTGTTGATCACTGCTCCTGGTCCCTGCTTCTAATGAGGCCTGCGTGTGCTGCTTTCCAGCACCTGGCAGGCGGTGCCCTTTGTGCCTCTGTGTTTCTCCTTTCATGAACTCCCAGGGCAGCCTGTGGCTCTGTCCATCTTTGAGGGTGTCCTGATGCCCAGCACAGCAGGAGTGAATGTCCTGGGCCAGTTCTGCCTGACTGCAGAGCATGGAGGTGCCAGTCAGCACTGAGTCAGGCCAGCTGCTGGAGTCTTGTTGTGCCCGCCTTCCTGCACCCCTTGCATTTTCTCCTCTTAGGGCCACTGGTGTGTCTCACCTGGAACCTTCTCCACCAACAACCCATCTGTTACTTCACAGATCCTGCCATGCAGGGAGCCGTGCCACAACAGCTGGGAGTCTCTGCCAGGGTCTCCTGGGGCTGCCATTCAGCTGTCCTGGGCTCCAATCTCCTGTGGAGCTTGAGGTCCTTCCCTGACCATTCAGGCTGTGGAAGGATTTCCATCCTGCGGCTGTGGGGTCAGGCCCTCAGCCTCAGGGGTAACTCCAGAGGCATGCCTTTCCCTGATCCTTCTGTCAGGAGCTGAGTGTCCTTTCCGTGTCACCTGTGTCCTGGCTCCGTGTCCACTTGCTTCAGTTGACCCGGCTCTTCTCTGAACAATGGTCCTCTTTCTCTGAGTTCTTTTTATTTTGTTTGGTTTGGTTTGGTTGGTTTGTTTTGAGACAGGGTCTCACTCTGTCACCTAAGCTGGAGAGCAATGGCGTGATCTCGGCTCACTGCAATCTCCACCTCCCGGGATCAGCGGGTCTCCTGCCTCAGCCTCCCAAGTACCTGGGATTACAGGTGGACACCGCCACACCCGGCTAATTTTTGTATTTTTAGTAGAGACGGGATTTCACCATGTTGGCCAGGCTGGTCTCAAACCCCTGACCTCAAGTGATCCACCTGCCTCGGCCTCCCAAAGTGCTGGGATTACAGGTGTGAGCCACTGTACCTGGCCCAGCTCTCTTTGTTTTAAGGGTGCCTTGGTAATTTCTTCATCATACTTTTTTCAGGGTAGCAGGTTGTCTGGTGTTAGTGGGATCGGGGCTTGCCCCGCATCTGGTGTTAGTGGGATCAAAGCTCACCCCGCGTGCTGGTGTTAGTGGGATCGGGGCTCGCCCCGCGTGCTAGTGTTAGCGGGATCGGGGCTTGCCCCGCGTCTGGTGTTAGTGGGATTGGGGCTCGCCCTGCGTGCTGGTGTTAGTGGGATCGGGGCTTGCCCCGCATCTGGTGTTAGTGGGATCAAGGCTCACCCCGCGTGCTGGTTTTCTTAGCGAGATCAGATATTGGTTCACACACGTAATGGGGGCCTTGCAAGCTGACGGCCTTGGATACCTCTCCAAGGAAAAGATGAGAGAGCTGGCTTCAACAAAATCAGCATGGAAAACAACAAGAAAAGATACATTTTTTGGGCCAGATGCGGTGACTCACACCTGTAATCCCAGTGCTTTGGGAGGCCAAGGCAGGAGGATCACTTGAGGCCAGGAGTTCAAGACTTGCTTGGGTGACAGAGCAAGACCCTGTCTCAAAAATAAAAGATACATTTTTTAAATCCACTTAGAAATTTTTTTTAACGTTTATGGTTATGAGAAAAATCGCACAACCAAAACCAAAACCAGTCTGCCATCTTTTTTGCCCCCATCATTTGGCACAGATAGATGAACTCATGATGTCACAGCAAGACCAAGAACTGAAGCCAGAGGCTGTCTAGGCTGACCTCTGCTTTGGTGTCTTGTTTAAATGAAGCTCATATTCCAGGAAGAGTGACCCAGGTCAAAGAAAAACACAATGAAAGTTATAAGACACTTAAAACTCAATGATCATACAACTTAACAGAGCACCTGGGGGCAGCAAAATCCAAGAGCAGTGTCCAACTCTGTGTGCCTCTGTTGCTGTTAGGAGAGGAGCTGGAAGTCAGGAGGGAAGCACCCAGTGTAACAGTTAGAAAAACAAAGGCCCAGGCTGGGCGCAGTGGCTCATGCCTGTAATCCCAGCACTTTGGGAGGCCAAGGCAGGCGGATCACCTGAGGACAGGAGTTCAAGACAAGCCATGGCTAACATGGTGAAACCCCGTTTCTACTGAAAATACAAAAAAAATTAGCCAGGTGTAGTGGCGTGCCTGTATTCATAGCTACTCAGGAGGCTGAGGCAGGAGAATTGCTTGAACCCGGGAGGCGGAGGTCGCAGTGAGCCAAGAGGGCACCATTGCACTCCAGCTTGGGCAACAAGAGTGAAACTCTGTCTCAAAAAAATAAATAAGTAAATAAAGCCACTTATTAATACAGCTAATGGAAAGAGATACCACTGAGAGGACAAAAGAGCTAAGAATTGGTTCTTCGAAAGGACTATTAAAATTGACATTCTCTGGCAAAATGACTAAGAAAAAAGGAGCAAATCAACCATTGGGAACGAGAAGGGAAGACAGTGCAGCCACATCCGACGCTGAAAAAGTGAGAAAAGCCCGTGCTGACAAAAACTCCACCGAAACAGCGCAACCGTCAGGAGGAAAGTCACGCGGCAGCCCAGCTCGAGGAGACACGCACACAGAGTCCGTGGCCGTGACAGAGATTGTGTGGATGAGTCTCAGTCTTGCCAAAGAACGCCAAGTCCAGGTGCTTTGCACGTGACTTCAAGAAACAGCTCCAGTTTTACCCAGACTCGGAGACAGACAGGAAACACACCCTGTGTTATTTTCTGAAGCGAGTATAATCTGGATATCAAAATTACAGTTCAGTGTCACTCATACCCATATACATGAAAAAAGGTACTAAGCACTTGCAGGCCAGGCGCGGTGGCTCACGCCTGTCATCCCAGCATGCTGGGAGGCCAAGGTGGGAGGATCGATTGAGCTCAGGAGTTTGAGACAGCCTGGGCAACATAGTGAGATTTCATTTCTAATAAAAATTAAAAATTAAGTGTGGTGGCGTGTGCCTATGGTCCCATATGCTCGGGAGGCTGAGGCAGGAGGATCAGTTGAGCCCGGGAGATTGACGCTTCAGTGAACTGTGATCGCACCACTGCATTCTGTTCTGCAGATGTGAGCAGGAGTGATAGGCGCCTCTTCCAGGCCTGGCCTCCTGAAATCTTCCCTGTGACCATCCACTGTCCTCCCTTCCTGTGACTGAAAGAGAAGGACTCAGAGATGGCAGAGCCACACACCAAGGGAAGGAGCCATGTCCCAGAGTCGCCCTCGGGAGAGCCTCAAGACCCTGTCGTGATGTGAGCAAGAAGGGGAGGCCTCCCGAGTGAGACGCTGAGATTCGGAGGTTCTTCATTATCCCAGCCACTGTTACTTACCCTGACCACTGTAGCAACAAATGACAAACATTCAGAATATGTGTAGCAGTCATAGGAACCAGGATTTTTAAAGACAAATATCTAAATAGAAAAATGGCCTACAACAGGAGCTCAGGACCAGCCTGAATAATGCAACGAGACTCCATCTCTAGAAAAGAAAAATGGGCAAACATCACAGAAGAAGAAAAATCCATGGCTCATAAATGCCTGAAAACATGCCCAATCTCATTAAAAATCAGGGAACACAAGTTAAAACAACAAAGAGATGCAAGTTTGTGCCCCACAGTGTGGTAAAGACGGCCAAGTCTGATTCTGATCCTTGCACGGGACGGGCCGGAGTCCTCATCTGCTGCTGTGGCACTGGGCGGCAGCACAGTCTGGAGAGCAGCCTGGCGTTTTCTGGCAAAGGCAAAGATGTGCATTTCTGCTGCCCCAGGAGCCACTGTTTACTTCCCCGTGAGAAACGTTTGTGCACGCAGCCAGAGACGACAACATTCACGGCATGCACTGTCAGGAAAGCCGGAAAGAACCCAAATGCCTGTGGGTAGCGAAGCGGGTAAATCATGGTCTGTTGGTCAAGGGAAGCTGTTGGCGCAGTGACTGCACAGCCAGCCAGGACCACGTCAGCACCTGTGCGTGTCAGATACAATGCTGAGCAGAGAATGTAAGGCACAGAAGACACACGGTTCTATTTTAACTACCGCGAAGTTCAAAACCAAGCAAAACTAAACAGTGTGGTGTTTGGGGACACGTGGTCGAACTGCAGAGAAAAGCAAAAGCATGGTTCATAGGGAACTCAGGAGGGAGGGGCAGGCACAGGGCACGGGCCCCTGGGTGGCATCTCGCTCTGAAACCGGATGGAGGGTGAGTGGGCATTTGCTCTAGCACGGTTTAAAGGATCATGTCATGTACACTCAGCTTACACATCTGACACCCTCCCCCCTTCCTCAACGTTTTTAGAAAACAGGAAGCACTTCCTTATGAACCTGGTGCCATCCAGCCCTGGGGTGCACGGGTTCACACCCACTTCCACACCCCCCACTGATCTCGAGGCCCCCCGCCCCCAACCCTGGCCTCCATTGCCCGCAGGTGCCTGTTTCCACTCAACCCAAGCCATTCTCTTGCTTTCATAGTGTGGTCTTTACCAACAGAGGAACCAGGTAATAACCACACTTCCTATGTACTCAGAAGATATTTCTCGTCCTTTTCAGGCTGGTAGAGCAGATCACCCCCAAAGCAGGAAGTTCCAGATCAAATATGCATAAGAAGCAACCTAAAAAAGATTCGCACATTCCTCAGTTCAGAGGAGGAGCAGAGATTAAGAAAAGGAGAAGAAAAGCGTTCGGAAGAGAAGAAAAGGAACCTCCTTCTGTGCAGCAGGCGCCTGGCCTGGGGAGGGCGGTGTGCGGCAGGGTACGTGCAGGGAAGCACCCTCTGAAATGCCTAGAAATAGCTCCCAGGCATTCACTTGGCTCCCAAACATCTTCAGAGGTCAAAACCATCACAGTGGGCAACTTTCCACCAGTGACCCCAGTGTTCACTGTCCTCAGGCCACTGCAGAGCCATCCTAATGGGGCAGTGGGCGCAGGGCACGGGCTCCTGACTCCAGTGAGGCCACCCTGAAGGGAGTCCCAGGAATCACCCTAATGTTCAGAACCTTCCTGGCATCTCAGGAGTGTACTGGGGGAGACGTGAGGACCCTTCAGCCAAGTGTCAGCGTTCTCATTACAGAATAACATCAAAGCCACAACCCAGAAACTTCTCAGGAGCATGGTGCACCCACACCAGCCCCGGGCTCCACCTGGACAGCACCTCCTGGGCCACCCTGACCAGCAGACACCATCCTCCCAGCCTCTCTTGGCCACCCTGACCAGCGGGCACCACCCTCCCAGTCTCACGCGGCCACCCTGACCAGCAGGCACTATCCTTTCAGCCTTGCTCAGCCACCCAGACCAGAGGGTGGCCCTGACCAGCAGGCACCATCCTCCCAGCCTCACTCACCTGCCCTGACCAGCGGGCACC